CGTCATCTCAAGACACTATACAGTTCACCAGATCTCACAGTCAAATATTCGGGTTCAGGTTTCAGAAGTCTGTCAGAGAAAATCACCCTGTAGATGGGACGACAGGATCCATGCATTTTGGGATACCTGCAAGAAAAACTTTATTGTTAAAGGGGAGTGTTGGGCTAGAGCAGGCATCCCCAAAGTCGGTCCTGGAGGGCCGCTGTCCTGCAGGTTTTAGAGGTTTCCCTGCTTTAGCACAGCTGATTCTGATGATTGCAGTTCAGCAAAAGCCTGTTAATCAGCTATCAATGTAAATCAGCTGTGCTGAAGCAGGGAAACCTCTAAAACCTTCAGGACAGCGGCCCTCGAGGACCGACTTTGGGCATGCCTGCCCTAGGGCCCCTCGCGACCCCGCTTTGGATAAGCGTGCTGGAAAATGAATGTTTACTCTGTATGATATTTATACAGGAACCAGGAATTATTTGAAACAACCCATACACACATTCATTCTTGAACTAAAGGCCACCTTGGGCTTGCATGTTTCTGGCCAGGGCTTTGATGTCAGGTGTGGTGTTTATAACAGCCAATCTAAAGTCTTGATGAACATTGAGTTTATTACAGGCTTTTGTTTTTATTGACACAGGAGCGCTGAAGGTAGTGCTGAATGGAAGAATAACCCTTATTATTGTGTGTTTTGGACAGTCTAGGTACAAGGATTTCTCCTTTGATAATCATAAAACTTTTTGTATTCATTCTCTTGAAATAATTTTTTGGATAGAGAATCAGCTTGTAGGTCAAAGAGCTCATCTTCACAGGCAAGGTATTCCACATCTTTTATTGTGGAAATGTATGTGTCCACAACCCACATTTATCTTGACAAAGCCTCATCCATGTCCACAGAGAACCTTTTCATCTTCTGGCACAGCAGATTAATCTGCTGGATAATCAAAACTGACTGCTTCATGCCGCGAAAACTGTATATGCTGTTAAAATAAAATGTATAGATAAAAACACAAGTGCCGTATATGTTCATCAGAAGATATTGATCATTTACTTTTTTTGGTATCCATGTTGTTTTCGGTCGGACTGGAGTTGTGACAGGCAGCCCGGGCCACAGGCGGCTACGCTCTACTCCTATTTATTCTAGCTCATCTGAATCGTTCAATTCCATTTCTAGAGTGAGATCATCTGTGGTAGCAGCACTAGACATCTTCCAGGCATGTGAGGAAAACTAGCAACAGTTCAGCGGACAGGATGAATGAATGGTAGCCGGCGTGCGCAGATAAAGTCATACACACGCCGCTTTGTTTTAAAAAGATATAAATATAAAAAATATAACTGCGGATGTCTGGGGGACTGCATGATTTTCAAACACTGATGTGATGAACAGCTGTCCATGATTCAGGTTAAAATCTAGATTCCATCCATCTCATTCATCCATCATCAGTCCATCCACCCATCTATTATCCATCCATCCATCCATGATCCGTCCATCCATCCATCCATCCATGATCCATCCATCCATCCATCATACATCCAGCCATCCATCCATCCATCATCCATCC